TATATATATATATATATATATATATATATATATATATATATTTATATTTACACACTTATATTAAAATTTTATATGAAAATATTTTGTTCATGAGTTTTTAAATACTTATATTAAAATTTTATATAAAAAAGTAATAAGTTATATGCAAATCATAAATATTGACAAATAAACAAAAATTTAATATTTCAAAATAAAAGGGCCAAAAGATAAATAAGAAAGAGATTTGCTGTACAGTAAAAACGCATATATGTGTTTGGGAGGAGAGAGAAAGTTATCAAAACTCATTTTGCGTTTAGGTATCTAGTTGGAGCAATTTTTGGTATTGCGTTTAGTTTTGCTCTAAAGCGCAACATATATATCACATCAAAACTCGGCCACAAAGTCACATATACATACTCATTTCTCTACTTTTTCTTGAAATCAAATATCCCACTATAAGTCCTGATACACTGAAAGTAACACCTCTGGATTAATGCATTTGACAACATAATAATCACCAAAAAGGGGTTCAACACCTCTCAAGAAAAGGCTACAACTTAGATATCAACATATACCATCAGTCTCAACAATACAAACAACTAAAACAAACACAGAGTTCTCTTTAATCATGCTCAACCTTTCAAGCATACCTTCAATTTCTCATAACTGAACATAGCATGCTTGTGAAACTGAAACTAAGGCTCAATTGAATACCTTACTACTCGAAATCAAAAGTTAGAAAAAGAAGGCTGCAAGGAGTGAGTCGTTGGCTCGACTGCTGGTCGACCCACACAAAGGTTCGGGTTCGCTGAACGAAGGCCGACAGGGAGTGTTGCGGTTGTTCGGGCCTGAACGAAGGACGATGAGGTACTGCTGCTCGGAAAAAGGAATTACAGGAATGGCTATTTCTAGGTTCGGCGCACAGCTGCTCCGTTCACAGCTTTCGGCACTCGGTTTGATCACTTGATAAATGCAAGACTCTCTGGTCACAAAGCGGGGTGTTTGGATGCTGAACAATAGCTCTCAGTCCTGAATTCTCGACTCTCGAAGGCTGCCGTTTCAACCTCGGACAACTCAGGTCTCCTTACGGGAAAGCTGGTGCGCTCGGAACATTGCTCAGCTTCTTCGGACTGGTGCTCGGAAAAAGGCTAAGCTCCGCTGGGACTGCTACTCTCCACCGCTCCTCTGTCCCGTGGCGCTCGAGTCTGACTCGCCGGCAACTGGTGGCTCTCCAGCACTGCTCCTCTGTCCGACCGGGGGTCCTTGGTTTGCCGTGAAAGGTTGCTGCTCGCCGGACGGAGGTTGGTTCTCCCAGCTATTCTCAGTACAGCGCCATCTCCTTGGTTCCGGCTAGCCGGAAACTGATGGTTTGCCTCACCAAAAATTGATGTTCTCTGGTATGCTCGTGAATTGACGTCGGCTATAATAGAGGTCGCGACCGGGCTAACTTTGGCGGGTTGCTCGCGATGGCGTTCCGGGGCGTGGCTGTTCACCGGCAGAAGAAATCTGTTATTTGGCTGATCGCGGCGTTGCAGGGACGCCCTTCGGCAGTCGCAGCGATGGCGTGCGGAAGACGGCCTGGTTATTTACGTCTCGATGGCGGCTGGAATAGAATTTCCCGGCGATGGCTGATGGTCGATCTAGAGAAGGGCGATTTCAAAGTACAGATCTCAGATTTGCTGTGCGAGTGTTGTGGTATCATCCCAAGATCAAGAGCATAATTTGAGAGAAAAATACGTTTCTATTACTCACAAGAATAAAAACACAAGAGATTTACAAACTCTAAACAAAAAACTCTCAAACACTCCACAACTCTTTCTTGGTTGTGTTTCAACACTCTCAAGGTTGATTGATCACTCTCAAGGATGATTTCAATGAATGAAATAACAAGCCTATTTATAGGCATGAATTAGCACACCATTGTGGAAAAATAGTGTGAAAAGAGAAGGTAGTATGAAGCTTGCCATTGATGAAGTCTTCAAACTTTTTCTTCCATGGTGTGCTTGAATATTTGGTGGAGACTTATGGTAGTTGGAGATTGTACATTTGCATGAAACTTTCAACTCTCCCCTTTCCATGTAAATTTTGAACAAGCATTCCTATTATGTCTCTGCATAGTTTAAGCTTATCAAGTGTAACCACTTTTGACAACATATCTGATGGATTCTCCTTCGTATTGATCTTCACTAGTTTCAACAGTTGTTGATCAATCTTCTCGCGTATCCAGTGATACCGAACATCAATATGCTTTGTGCGGGCATGGTACATAGAGTTCTTGCTTAAGTCAATAGCACTTTGACTATCACAATATACCTTGTACTCTTTCTGTTAAATCCCAAGTTCTTGGAGATAGCGCTTTAGCCACAACATTTCTTTACCAGCTTTAGCGGCAGCAATATATTCAGCTTCTGTTGTGGATAAAGCAACACACTTCTGCAATCTTGATTGCCAAGAAATTGCTCCCCCTGCAAAAGTGTAGACATAGCCTGAAGTAGACTTTCGACAATCGATATCTCCGGACATATCAGCATCAGTATATCCTTCCAAGACTGGATCAGTTCCCCCGTAACAAAGACATAACTTAGAAGTACCCTTCAAGTATCTGAGAATCCATTTGACAGCCTCCCAATGCTCCTTCCCGGGGTTAAAAAAAAAACGATTCACTACACCCACTGCATGAGCAATATCTGGCCTTGTACACACCATTGCATACATCAGACTTCCAACTGCTGAAGAGTATGGCATTGCGGACATTTTCCCTATCTCTTCCTTTGATGTGGGACATGATCTCTTGCTCAACTTGAAATGATTCGCAAGTGGAATACCCACTGGTTTGGCATCACTCATATTGAATCTTTCAAGTATTCGTTCAATGTACTTTTCTTGAGATAGCCATAACTTGTCGTTCTCTCGGTCTCGAGTAATCTGCATCCCAAGAATCTGTTGAGCCTTTCCTAAATCTTTCATATCAAAAGACTTAGAAAGTTCTTTCTTCAGCTGACTTATCTTCTCTGCATCATTCCCGACGATCAACATGTCGTCGACGTACAGTAGAAGAACTATGAAAGCCCCGTTTGAGTATCGCTTGATGTAAACACACTCATCTGCAGTAGTCTTCTTGTAACCTTGACTCTTCATGCACGAGTCAAACTTCTTATTCCACTGCCTTGGTGCTTGCTTTAGACCATACAAGCTTTTAGATAGCTTGCACACGAGGTTCTCACTTGAAACCTCAAAACCTTCTGGCTGCTACATATAGATTTTTTCATTCAAATCTCCGTGAAGAAAAGCTGTCTTCACATCCATCTGTTCAAGCTCCAAATTCATACTTGCTGCCAAGCCAAGTATGACTCGAATTGAGGTCATCTTGACAACTGGTGCAAAGATCTCGTCATAATCAATCCTTTTCTTCTGTTGAAATCCTTTGACTACCAATCGAGCTTTGTGTTTCACCACTTGTCCATTTGCATCTTTCTTCAGCTTGAACACCCATTTATTTTTCAAAGCCTTTTTCCCTTCTGGAAGTTTAACAATCTCATAAGTTTGATTTTTCTGCAGAGAATCTAACTCTTCCTGCATTGCAGCCATCCATTTTTCTTTATCCTTATGAGATATGGCTTCTTGAAAACTCTTTGGTTCTCCATCTTCTGTCAATAGAAGGTATTCAGATTATGAGTACCTTTTTGATGGTATATGACCCCGTTCAGATCTACGAGTGGGTAGAACCATCTGAGAAGAACTTCCAACATTGGTGTCTGGCAAAATGGGTTGTGGCTGCCCTTGCTCTGGCAAGATGGGTTGTTGCTCCCCTTGCTCTGCACTCTCCTCCGTCTCCTCGTCTTCTTCTGGTACATCATCTTCATTGTTTCTCCGGAACAATTCTGGTGCTTCATTTGAAACTTGAGCACCCACATTTGACTTCTGAGACATCTTGGGCTTTTCGATATCTTCTATTGTCAAATTTTCTTGGAACACAACGTCCCTACTTCTGATCACCTTTTTCTCCTTTGGATCCCAAAATCTGTATCCAAACTCTTTATCTCCATAACCAATGAAAATGCATGGGATGGACCTCGCATTGAGCTTCTTCCTGAGCTCTTTGGATACATGTGCATATGCTACACAACCAAATACTCTGAGATGTGAGTATGTCGGATCCTTACCAGTCCATATTCTCTCTGGAACTTCAAAGTTTAATGGAACTGAAGGTGATCGGTTGATTAGATAACATGCGGTCTTGACAGCTTCTCCCCAAAATGGCTTTGGTAATTTAGCCATATTCATCATGCTTCAGACACGCTCCATGATAGTCCGATTCATTCTTTCAGCAACACTGTTATGCTGAGGGATACGTGGTACTGACTTCTCATGTCGAATGCCATATGTCCTGCAATATGCATCGAACTCCTTGGAAGTATACTCGCCTCCATTATCAGATCGGAGACATTTCAGTTTCTTTCCTGTTTCACGTTCCACTATGACGTGAAATGACTTGAAGTACTCAAACACCTGGTCCTTCGTATTCAGGATATATACCCACACCTTTCGAGAAGCATCATCAATGAAAGTCAGAAAATATCTGCTTCCACCTAGTGATTCAACCTCCATGGGACCGCAAACATCAGAGTGTACCAAGCTTAACAACTCTGATCTCTTTATTGAACTTGTATTGAATGAGACCCTATGCTGCTTGCCGAACAGGCAATGACTGCAAGAACCCATCGCCGCACTCTTATCAACCTTGATAAGATCCTTCTTCATCAGGGTAGTCAGCCCTTTTCTCACTCATATGGCCGAGTCTCTGGTGCCATAGATCCTGGGAAACCTCCTCTACAACATTGAGACTTTCTGTACTGATCTTCAAATGTGTTTTGTACAGCGTTCCACAAACATGTCCTCGGGCAATTTTTAGAACACCCTTTGACAACTTCCATGTGCCTGCGCCGAAGTGATTTTCATATCCTTCTTTGTCAAGAGCCACCACTGACAAAAGATTCAGCCTAAGATCTGGCACATGCCTGACATCCTTCAACAAGATTGTACTCCCGGTTCCTGTCGTTTCCTGGATATCACCAATTTCGGCAATTTGAGAGGAGCTGGAATTTCCCATCTTCACCGATCCAAAGTCTCCAGCTTGGTATGTTGTGAAGTATTTCCTGTTGGGAGTAACGTGATAGGATGCTGCAGTATCTACCACCCATTCCATGTCTTCTCTTGAGACATGAAGGCATGTCTCACCATGGTTAGAGCAATATGCTACATCACCTGAGACAGTGATAAGAGTTTCACCACCCTTGCCCTTGTTCTTCTGCTGAGAACTATTCTTCAGCTGAGAATTGCTCTTGCCCTGCTCCTCGAGCCATTTATAGCAATTCTTCTTCATATGACCTTCTAGACCACAGTGATAGCACACATGTGATCTCCGATCATCTGATTGCCTCCCCTTGCTTCTACCCCTGCTCTTCCCTCTACCGCTTCTTTGTTGCTTGCCTTGTGGTCTTCCTCGATTCTCCATCACAAGGGCATGGGTCTGATCTGTGCCCATGTCTTTCCTTCTTGCTCTTTATTGAATAAGGCATCCTTCACAACGGACATGGAAAGTTTGCCGTTTGAGGCTGAGTTGCTGAGAGTAACAACAAGTGTTTTCCAGCTATCAGGAAGGGAACTAAGAAGTAGCAGAGATTGCATTTCATCTCCAAGCGGCATCTCCACACAAGATAACTGATTTACCAGGCTCTGGAACTCACTGGTATGCTCGGCAACAGAAGTTTCACTTTTCAACTTCATATTGACTAAGCGCCTCATCAATAAGGCCTTATTCCGAGCGGTCTTGGCTTGGTACATGTCCTCCAGCTTCCTCCAAAGGACATATGCGTCGGTTTCTTGTGCAACATGATGGAAGACACTATGATCAATCCATTGTCGGATTTGACCAATAGTTTTTCTGTTGATTTTCTTCCATTCTAAAGCCTTGGACGGATCAGGGTTAATACCCTGCAGCTCTATTGGGTCAAAGAGCTCTTTACAGCTGAGGAAATCTTCCATCCGAGGTTTCCACAACGTATAGTTGGTAGCCGTGAGCATAATCACAGCTCCAAAAGATGAAGTTGACTCTTCCATGGCCATTTTACACCTTCAATTGTCTGTTTGGGACAAATCAGAGCTGAATTTCAAAAAATAGACAGCACCGTTGCGTCCGGAACAGTCGAAAATGGGGGGGGAGTTTTTTTTTTTTTTTTGATGACGTGGCAGTCAACCGATGACGTGTCAGTTGACTTGCTGACGTGGCAGCTGACTAGGACCGCTGACTGGGAAAGTGACAAGACTGCTAATGTGGCGGATGGTTGGAGTCTCCTTGCTGACATGGCGATGACGTGTCAGATGATGTGGCGACACGTCATCATCTTCAACCTCACAATTATTTTTTTTTATTTTTTTTTTCAGAACTTGCGGAGGCTTTTCGGGGAAGTTCCGGTGTCCGTTTTTTGCCCGTAAGATATCACCGCGACCGTCTCGACGAGACGAATCTAACGGTGTCCTCGAAATTGAGTTTTGAGTACAAGTCAGAAACTCGAAATTTCTACAGAAGCTCGGAAAAATTCGAAAATAAGCTCGAAAGCTTCAAACCAAGCTCTGATACCACTTGTTGTGGTATCATCCCAAGATCAAGAGCATAATTTGAGAGAAAAATACGTTTCTATTACTCACAAGAATAAAAACACAAGAGATTTACAAACTCTAAACAAAAAACTCTCAAACACTCCACAACTCTTTCTTGGTTGTGTTTCAACACTCTCAAGGTTGATTGATCACTCTAAAGGATGATTTCAATGAATGAAATAACAAGCCTATTTATAGTCATGAATTAGCACACCATTGTGGAAAAATAGTGTGAAAAGAGAAGGTAGTATGAAGCTTGCCATTGATGAAGTCTTCAAACTTGTTCTTCCATGGTGTGCTTGAATATTTGGTGGAGACTTATGGTAGTTGGAGATTGTACATTTGCATGGAACTTTCAGCGAGGAAGACGATGAGGGGCTGCTATGATGGTTTGACTTGCGTGAGTTTATGAAGAAGAGTGATTCGAATCGTGAGGGCATCTGTATTGGTTTAACAAAATTTTCATTCATTCAATTAAAAAGTTACACTCTCTCTCATCCACATCATCTTTCCACCAAATATCTCTCTATTTAAACACACACCCACATTCATACCCCATTCATTTAAATACATATATGGGACCCATTAAAACAAAAAAAAAATAAATTTTAAAGGAATGAACATTGTAGTAGACCCATTAAAAAATAATATTAAAACAAAAAAAAAAATAAAAAAAAGTGGCTGCTGAACGCGTTCAAAGGAATGAACGTTGTAGTGGACCCCTCCATTTAACAAATGAGCCTCATCCGAATTAATGGGGTGGGGGCGTTTAAACGGTGGAAATAAACGAGCCGATGTAGATGCTCTGAGGGAGAGTTCTCTCTCAAATATCGGAACTGAGAACAAAACTCACGCAGATTGAGGGTGAGAGACTCGGTCGCCGCTCGTGGCAGATATTTAGGGCTTGATTGTTTATGAGTTAATTTACTCACATTTATTTCAACTCAAAATTTAACTCAATTTTAACTTAACCTCACTATTTTTAATATTCATATAATTAATAATACAAACCAATCATTCTTACACATCACATCAACTTTAATTCACTACTCATCCATTCACATAATTTTAGTTATCTATCATTTCCAATCATTTTCAATCATTTATCTCTTACTTTTACATCAAATCAATTTTAATCATTTTATTTTAAATATTATTTTAATACATTCTTAAAATTCCACTAACAACTAATCATACCACCTTTTTCAAAATTTACCATCGTTAACCAAAATAACTCATTCTGAACAAATTATTTTAAAAAACAATCAAGCCCTTAGTCACAATGTGGTCTTTTCTACTCAAAAATGAGAGAGACTGGACGGATTGATGGTAGCTAAAAAATGGGGCGAAAATCCTACTAAGTGGGCCGAGATTTTTTACTGCAATTGGACCGAAAAAAATATAAGTTCGATTTGGGCCGAACGAAATAGCTTAAAGGGGCTATAGAATTAGATGTGAAAACGGCCAATTATTGGTCTCGAATAAATTCTAACGAAACGAGAAAATAAAAATATCTGGATATTATATATATAAATACAAACAATAATATTTTATTTAATATTAAATAAACATTTAAACAATTAGACATTAATAATAACAATAATAATAATAAGCAATTAAGACAATTAGATAAATAATATAAATAATATCAACATAATAATAATAATAATGCAATATAATAATCCCAAATAATTCTTAAACAGACGGGGCATTACAAGGTGCAACCTGTTGAGATCAAATCTCAACATCCAATTAGTATTTCCATGATTTTTGCAAAAGGTATTAGACACTACAATTATAGTTGTAATGCCACTGATAGTCTGATACATTAACCTTGATCACTACAAGAAATTGTCAAAATGCCAAAAAAAATTACCAACAAAATTTTTTCCGTTGGGGATTGCAGACGAATCACCAACGGATTAGCAATCATTCCACGTACAATTTTTCTAAACAGATTACCAACAAAATACTAACAAGATATAGCAACGAAAAATTACTCTTAGTAATCCGTTGGTAAATAGTGAAAGAAATATTCCGTTAGTAAATACAAACAAAATACCAATAAAATAGCAACAAAGTCTTTCAAAATTGTATTAGCAACGGATTACTCCGTTGGTAAATAGCAACATATTTTATTCGTTGGCAAATAGCAACAAAATAGAAACATACATCATCAATATTGTATTAGTAACGGATTATTCCGTTGGTTAATAGCAACGAATTTTTTTCGTTGGCAAAATAGCAACGGAATAGCAACGGACATCATCAATATTGTATTAGCAATAGATTATTTCGTTGGCAAATAACAACGAAATGTTTTCGTTGGTAAATAGCAACGGATTTTTTCCGTTGGCAACTAGCAAGGGAATAACAACAAACTCCTTAAAAATTGTATTAGCAACGGATAATTCCGTTGGTAAATAGCAACAGAATGTTTCCGTTGGCATATAGTAACGAAATAGCAACAAACTCTTCAAAAACTGTATTAGCAAGGGATTATTTCGTTGGGAAATAGCAACAGAATTTTTTCGTTGGCAAATAGTAACGGAATAACAACAGATTAATCCAAAATTGTATTACCAACAGATTATTCCTTTAGTAAATAGGAACGCAATTTTTTCGTTTGCAAATAGCAACGGAATAGCAACAAACTCTTCCAAAATTGTATTAGCAACGAAATTTTTCCGTTAGCAAATAGAAACAGAATAGAAACGGACACTTTTAATATTGTATTAGCAACGAATTTTTATATTTATTTTTTGACATAAACAAAGTAATAATTTTGCTTGTTTTTGTTAATCGTATTATTCAACCATTATTTTTAAAATTTTACTATCATAATGACATTATTATTAAAATTATAACACTTAGAAAAGTAAAATTCTTTATATATATATATATATGCGTGTATATAATGATAAATATTTAATATACCTTAATAATAT